TTAAGATGCTCTAGCCGGCTCGCACTGTAGTAAGGCGTTCTCTCTCCTTGCTCGGGTACTAACGCTGAAAACAAAGGCAGGCATCAGGCCATGAAGATTAAGCATGTGTCTGATGCCAGCCGTGAGCCCTCGCCAAGATCAGAGAGAGGGAAGGGACACACAATGTAGGCAATGACCAGCCTATATCGTTACAATTAACTGTAAGAATTTTGATAATACTAGCAAACAAAAGAAAAAATTATAGTCGGCAAATAGCTTTTGAGTCTTTAGCACGCGCAACTTTTTTGTATATAGATCAAATTGAAATAGGATTGCTGACTTTGAACAATGTTGAAATTTGCTACCATAGTTTTTTGATTTCTTCATTCTGTTGGTAAAATATTACACTTTTTATAAAAATTTGAAATTATGTATGTAACAATAAACAATCGTATTTGTAAAAGATAAGTAATATAAGAGTTACCTTGTATCTTTGAAGCGCCTGTTTGCGACAAGCCATTATGCATATGCAACTTTTTGATTAATCAACGATATCTCCTGAAAGGGTGGTTGACCTTGACGTATGCTTGGAAAGACCGGTGGGGAGGTTTATCTCTTAAGCAGGGAGTATAAAGCCCAGGCCACAGGTAATTGGGATGGATCACGGGAGGCCGGTCGAATCCCTATAAACGAGCTCTTTGACAGGTTGTGATTAGTTCCGAGGAGGTTCAAGCGCCTGGAACACTCCCAGGGGAAGAATAGGGAATACCTGCAAGCCTATAGGGAACAAAAAACAGCTCCAAATCAGAATGTTCGATGATTGGGTCTGAACCATCCCTAATCTAAGATGTGGGATGCCGTTCCGAAGGAAGCGTGATACAGGAGGAGCTGTATCATGAATCTTGGGACATCGGGCGAAAATCCGTTGTATCAAGCCTTAACCGGTGTACCGGACCAGCCGGGCAAACTTTTTGGATCCGCACTATTCGTGGGACTAAAAATGACTATAAAAATAGAAAAATTAAAAAATCGTAACAAAGGAAAGGAGGACCGGAACTCTAAACCACCGGACTCTAACCCCTCGGAGACATCTGCAAACTATGAAGGGACGGGCTTGAACCGATATGTGAGTAGGACGCAGAAGAGAAAGCTTCTAAAGCAACAAACGGTAGCGGAAGGTTGTTCTATTTTAAAGTTTGGAAGAAAGCTAAGGAAGAGAGGCAAGGAAGTAGGTGTTTCTTACTTATGGGGAATATCTGGGCGACCCCAGAACCTGATGGTATCTTATCAAAGATGATACAGAAAGGCTGCAAAAGTATCCTGCGGTTGATTACGGGCATTTTTAGAGGTTGTATTGCAAGCAGAATACATATCGGAAAGGTGGAAAAGAACAGGAATATCATTCATACCAAAACCTGGTAGAAATGGTTACTCGATAGTAAAAAACTTCAGACCTATCAGTCTGACATCTTTCATGCTGAAGACTCTGGAGAGACTAGTTGACGTATACTTCAGGGGAGAAGTACTGGTGGGACAGCCTCTTCATATTCAGCAGCATGCGCATATGTTGGGTAAATCCACCGAGACTATGCTATACTCAGTGGTGAGCTACATTGAGAAGGCGCTGGACAATAAGAAAACGTTATAGGAGCCTTTGTAGATATTAAGGGTTCTTTTAACATTACCACAGGAAACTTCATTGACTACGCGCTGGAACTCAGACAGATCCCTATATCAGTTAAATGGCTGAGGGGAAATATGCTGATCGATAAAATCATGTACAGTGCATGGAAAGGAAAAATCGTAGGAGATATAATCAATGAGGGATATCCTCATGGAAAAGTTCTATCACCTCTAAAAGTGAAAAGGTGTTAAACATATTTATGCAGTATAGATCGGCAATCGGGGTAGGATGGGAGCTTAAACCTCAGAAGGCACTATAGATCTATAGAGCTATACCGGTATCGAAGTTGTCCTATGCGGCAATAGTATGGTGGAAAGTTACCAAAAATGTAACATATAGAGGCCATTACCTTTAGAGGGACTTATGGATTGAAGCGTAACACACATATAGGTGCTGTTAGGAAGATGCTAGATGAGCTAGGACTAGACCTTGTTATCGAAGGATGTACCACTAAAACAGCATACAGACTAATGTGTAGCAAGACTTGGGAGAGTTTCAAGAAGGGCATGTAGTTATCGGCAACATTCGGACTAAAGGTGACATCTCGGGTGCGGAGACAGGAATACACCCCAATTAGGAGGTAGGAATGCCGTATTGGGAAGGGTGTACGAGAATAGACTCCATTATGTATGTTAGATGACATGTAGATCGATGAGTACCCAGCTTGGAGGAAGGATAAATAAATGGTCTAGCTCTATAAGGAACATGAGCAAACGGGAAGAAAGAATAATACTGGAAGTATTTACCGAACATTTCGAGCTTCCCTGTTATATGCATAAAACACAAGGACATAGTAACTTGTGCAGATGAGAAATATTATGAAGAAGAGGAAAAAATATCACTCCACTGCCAATATAAATACCCAGCACTAATGGTTATAAGATAGAAGTAGATGGGTTCAGGGATATTAGATCCTCAGATATTTAAAAAGGTTGACCCGAGGAGCATGTTTTACAGTCTGCAAGATGACAGGGATCACCGATACCTCATAGACAGAGTCTGGGGGATAGAGATCCAACAGCGACAGCTAAGTGTCTCTAAGCAGGCCATATACACC